TATATATATATATATATATATATATATATATGAGAATAAATGAATCAAACTGATGCTTGAAGACTGAAAACAAGACATTGTGTCTACCACTAAATGTGGAGAATCAATAACTTCCAGCAAATGATTTATTATGCTTGCTTAATAAATGAAGGAATGAATAATTGGAATGGCCCATGTATCATTGGTATTATAGCTTCCAGCCCTATTCTGAATTGAATTGAAGGTTGCAATGGCAGATTTTTCCTATTGAGAACTTCAAAGCAATTTTTGAGATAACTGCAGTTAAAAGCATTTAGATTAGAGTTAGGCAAAAAAGGGCAGCATACAGGAATCTCTATCACAAAAAATGATTGTGAGAGCAAAAATAAGAAAACTCAATGTTAACTTCACAGTGACAAAAATCAATGGATCAAAGCGGCAAAAGGGTTAACAATTCCTCAAAGGTGATCACATCACAAGAATGGGGAAGGGGGGAGGGGAAAGTGTTAGTTGCTCTTTTAGAATTGTATCAAAGAATGATATTATCCAACTGAAGCTTCCCTGTGTGACACAGACAAAAATACAAGTGATGGCTTAGTGGTTAGAATGCAGTCCTGGAGGCTACTTCGATTCTCATAGGCTCAAGATGACTAAGCCTTCCATCCTTCTGAAATAAGTAAAATGAGGACCCAGATTGTTGGAGGCTGTGTAGCACTGTGAAGCGGTATATAAGTCTAAGAGCTATTGCTATTGCTACCTGTGGCTAGGGGTATCAGACTATATCTAGGATCCTTCTGAGCCTTCTGGATCCTTCAAACCAGGGCGGGGAACAATGGCCCTTCCTGAGCCAGCCAATTCTGGGAGTTGAAGACCACAAGTCATAAAGGGGCCATCATTCCCCATCTCTGCTTTAAAACAATGATACAGTGAATGACTCAGAAGACTTACTCAGTTGCAGCTCTTAATCTCTGAAAAGATATCTCCCTGGAGATTCATGCAGCTTCTTACAACATTCTGAAAATTATCAAAACCTAGCTATTTAGGTAATCATGTAGCACTTTTAGTTAGTTTTGTTTTGTTCTAGATTCTGGTCAGCTGTATTCTTCTTTTTATACATATTGCCTCCTTGCATATTTATTTGTAACTGCTGAGGAATCAAGCAGTCTTGAAATACTGATGAATAAAGAAAATTAAAAAAGAAAACATAAATTGCAAACAGAAGCTATCACAAAGTAAGCCATCATGTCCTTGTTTATAAACTAATTAATTTTGTTTGCATAACTTTAGATAAAACAAATTTTATTGCCTACCGCAGGACAGACATGAGATCACACACACACACGCACAGACACACATAGACACACACAAACACACACACAGCGCATACAAAACAAAATAGAAACTCTGTGTGTGTGTGTGTGCACGTGCGTGTGTGTGTTTGTGTGTAGAGGTGGACAAAAATGGACAAAATAAATAATCTTACAAAACAGAATAAAAATAAAAACAATTGCAAAATAAATATCTTTAATTTAGTAAATGGATTCTAGCAGGAATGAATTCAATGTACAAAACTAATAGGAGGAAATAACATTGGGTTCACTCTTTATGGAAGGAGGAAGTTAGGAAGGGCAGTCTAATACTTTTGTTCCTTACACTAACTAAATGTGTTTCTTCTAAACTCCACTATAGTTTGGCATGGTCTTTTTGATCATTAAAAAAATATTATTTTTAAGAGTGCTTGATAAACTCATTTCTTGACATCATAGTCCCAGAAAAACAAACATATACTTACAAAGACAACATCTGAAGGAAACTACAGAGTTCATCTGTCTTTCTCTTGGCTTCCCTAGGTTACACAAAATTCCTGGCAATAAGGGGAAAAAGGGCTGTTTTTTGAAAGAAAGAAAAAGAACAATGTGTATATGCTGACTTTGTTTTGTTGGGAACAGTGGATGCTGAGTCAAACAAATCTCCCTGAGTTTTTATTAAAAAGTTTAGAGATAAATGTAAAATTTGAGGAAAGAGAAAAGGCAAGCCCGAATATAAGAAGTTCACTGAAACATGTTTATTGCAGAAGAATCTATAATCCGCTTTTCGTTATAGGTTACATTTCCAAAAGGGCTGTGCAATAAAAGAATTAAAATAGCAGAAATATCAAAGTTTAAGAACAATCATTTCTCCCTCCTGCTCTCCCTCCCTCCCCCCTCTCTCCACCCCCTTTATATGAACAAGTAGACTTGAACTAATGACCACAATCATTCATGATTTGTCATAAAGCAGATCATCACACGACTGACTTGATTTTAAATTTTTTGCAGTGGTTGTTAAAAGAAAGCTATGATTATTAAGTGAGTGCAGTGCTAAGTAAACCCCACGGTCACTAATAGTAGGTTCTCTCTGGAGCATTTTTGCTGAAAACCAAAAGTAAATGCCAGGTTTTGGCAAAAACATCATAGTGGCAACAGGATGCTGAAAACAGCCATAAATCTGGGCTGATTGCCAAGGGTTCAAAATGCAGTTATGTGATTGTGAGGAAGGGCATCTGTCAGAACGGGGTCATAAGTACCTCGGGGGTACTTCAAACAGTGGCTGTGACTGGTTGTAAGTCAAGGAATATCTTAATGAATGCTCATATAACTAAGCTTATAAATACCTATTTTAAATATATATAAAATTTTAAGTATGTGTTTGTGCTTATGTATTTGTGTGTGTGTGTGTGTGTGTGTGTGTATGTCCATTTGTGGACTGAATATTAAATAATATTTTCAATCTCATGTCATCAACAGATTGCAGTTCTGATATGTTAGAAACTATGACACAGTTTTTGAACATCTGTTCTTTCATTTCAGCTGATAGGAAGTTACTGGGAGAAAAGATTGTATTGTTATTCATGGAATGGAACAGAGTGCATCCAGCACTCTAAGCAATATATAGTGGCTGAATTTTGCTTGTAAAAAAAGTTCCTCCAACTAAAATTCCTCACATTCACCCTGAATACAGATTGCTTATGGTTATGATTGTGATGACATGACTACTGTGCACGGTTGGGCTGACAAAGATAAAGATGGTAAACCAGGAAAAGTTCATTTAAGTAATCAAGAAATGAACAAACTATGACAGCAACTGTTAAGTTTCACGTATGAAGGGTGATAAATTAAGGACAATCAGATCACTCAAAGGAAGTTCCAGTTTTTGGAATCAGAAGTTATGCTATTCATATGGATTTCCCTGAATATGGTACTGATATCAACTCAAAGAGCTAAATTAAAATATTCAAAACTTTGGAACAATTATTACGTAGAAGAAAGGAAGCCCAAGAAAGAAAGAAAAATGTTGTAATGTGCTAAAACCTGGTCTCACACTTTTCAGGCTACCCAAATGGCAATTACAAAGTCAGATCTCATCATTTTATTCCATCTGCCATATAATAAAAACTGGGCACAATGCAATTTTCACCTTTTCTCAAAGCTGAAGAAAAACTTTTTTGAGCATCTATTTGACTCAAATGAAGGAAGGGGTGGACAGAATCTGGCTGAAAAGACAAATGTAGTTTTCACAACTTTAAGAAGCTTGTTCATTGTTGAATGAAATATCTAGTGAATGTTGTGGTTATGTGGAAAAGCAAATGCACATAATGAAAAAATTGTTGACAAGCATTATTTAATTCAAACATTTGTATCAGGCTACCTAGAATGTAGAAAGGTTTTATACTGCAGAATGAATTATGCTGAAGGAGAAGATATGGTATGTGAGGAATCATTTTAAGACACATGAATTCTATGAAAAGTTGTATCAACTTTGTACTTTTAGAAATTTACTAAAGTCTTTTGAAATATTAATTTATATTAAATATACTTAACTTAATAATTAGAAAATATTACAGGTACTTGGTATATTAAAACTTAAATTAGAAAAGCAATAAATTTATTAAAAAATACTTTTGAACATAAATTGAAAAGAAGGATTGTACTAGGTACTTGTATAAAGCACATAGCAAAAAGGTAGCATATAAAAT